GGATGTTGGAATGTTTAAAGATGTCCTGGAGGTTCCAAAGCCTCTCCTCATTTTTTTGAATTCTTGTTTCTTCATCCTTTTCTGTTTGGTCATTTTTTTCCTCCTTCTGGTCCACTCCTTTGATTTGAGTCCCAGTTTCCTTTCCATTACTATTGGTTTCCTGTGTATTTCCCTTCATTTCAATTAGTTTATCCTTCATATGTTCCTCTAATTTGTGACTAAAATCAACCAGTTCTGTGACCGTCCTGATCACCAGTGTTTTGAACTGTGCATCTGAAAGTTTGGCTATTTCTTCATTGCTTAGATTTATCGGCTCTGGGGCTCTGAGTTGTTCTTGAGCCATGTTTTGATCTGTTTGTGCCTGTTACATATGAGGAGCGGAGCCTTAGTTGTTCACCAGGGCGGGGCCACCCAGGTTGCTGGTTTGTGATGCTGTATGTGGGGGCGTGGTCAGAGAGGGAGCAATGGTGGTCCCTTCTGCTGCTTCCCACCACTGGGGCCTGTGAGGTCCATCTCACTGCTAGCTCCTTCACTGGTTTATCTGCGCTCGAATGTGTGACTGTGGTCAGCCCTCAGTGGGTCTACCGCTTTGCGCCCTCAGTGGGTCTGCCCGCCACTCCACACCTGGGATCTGCCCACGGCTGCCTGCGCACCCGGGTCGAGCACCCAGGTGGTTCCGGGGGCTCTTTCCTTCCTGATCCCGCTCTGCTGCTGGCTCTGCCCCTCTTACTGGTTTGGCTGAAGGGTTCGTTGTTGTCAGACTTCATATAGTTCAATTTTCTGTGGTTTGGCTGCGTTTTTGTTGCTAAAACTTTGTTGTTTTAAAACTTGGTTGTGCGAGAAGGTGCAGTGCTTCCACCTATGCCTCCACCTCCATCTTGGTGGAAGTCCCCAGCTGTGTTAAAAGTATCTTCCAGCTACCCTGCCTAAACCTAGCCCCCTCCTCACCCCTGCCCAGGACCACACGTTACATCTAGTTGTCCTGTCCTTTTATGTTACTGCAGCGAGTTTTCTTTGTCCCATGACCCTAATGTACAACAGACCCGGCCAGTGGCCCTACAGTGTCCCTTGGCCTGGGGTTATCCATTTGTGGGGTTTGGCTCAGTCCTCACCTTGTACATCTACACACTGGGAAACAGATCAGAGCCTGGACTGGATCTTCCATTTCACAAATGAGCAGGCAAGAGCACAGAGAGGTCAGGCCATTTGCGTGTGGGCTCTTGGCCGGTGGGCAGTGCTGGTGGAACTGGAACCCTGGTGTCCCAGCCAGCTGACGCGAACGGGGTTATAAGTAGTGCTTGAACTCTTCTTGGGCTCCTAAAGTCTGGCGACCTTACATTCTTGCTGCAGTGTCATGTGCCTGTGTGTCCAGCATCAGCTGGCGAGGAGGCCCTCAGCCTGCATGAGGCCCACATACCAGAGAGCTTTCCTGGAGTCATGCTGGTCACCTCAGAGAGCCCTTTGACAGTGAAGTCCTGTCCCACAGTGTCTGCTCCCACTAATCAGCATATGCAATTGTAGAAGCAGCTCAGGTACCTTCTAGGAAAATTGTAAAACCTAGCCGAAGGGAACAGGCAATTTTCTGTTTTTATATTACCTCGATTGCTTTGCTTTCTTATTTCAAAATTGTCCTTCTTGTTTTCGGAGGCATTTAGGAAGGCATTTAGGCATTTACTCGCCCTTCAGCAACTCAGGGCCCAAGGTGCTGCAGGCCTCAGCCCAGGCAGTCCCGGGGCAGGAGGAGAGGTAGGGGCTGGAGGCCCTGGTCTGTCTGCGTTGGGAGGTCTTCCTCTCAGACTGGATTTCGAGGGAGATATTGGGCTTCTCCAAGTTCTCTGTTCAACCCTTCCCCTCAGGCTTTTTCAGGTGAGCAGGCCGAGAAGGATAAAAATGAGGCCTATGTATGTTTATAATTCTCAGGCAGAGCAAATGAAGCCTATGAGCTCCTCCCACTAAGATCTTGGCAGTAGGAGGACAATGCACTTGATGCACTTGATGCCCCTTTAGTGATGAGCTTACACTAACATCTTCTACTCTTCCCTCCCTAAGGGCTGGGGAAGTGAGCAGCCAGCTGACCCAAGACTGGACAGCCTCTCAGAATTTGCTTTTCCAGGGGTTCCTGGGAGTCATCGTGGACCTTCAGATCCTCAGAGAAGGGCCAGAGCCATGCTCAGGTGGCCAGAGGGTTCATTCAGGCCTGTCTCACAACCACATCTGTGTTCACTGTCATGTGCATGGGCACAAGAGGCCCTTTGTGGGGCCGAGATGCTGTCACTAATGCAAGAACATCTCTGTTGGAATCCTGCCTCACAGCTGAGACCTCTGTGTGCAGCTTGCTGATAGAGCTGGTGGCTGTGAATTCTGCCTTCTGCGGAACTGAGAGCTGTTCCTTCATTTACCAAAACCACAGCATTTAGGGGAATACCCTTTGTCTTTAATTTCCACATTGATGTGGTAAGCTGTTTCCGTATGTGCCGGCTGTGCATTGTTCTGACGGCATCGCTTATGGTAGATATAAACATGAACATTTGCATTTGAAGCCAGCCTGGCCTTGCAGATGTGCTGAAAGGCTCCAAGGATGAGGGAGGCCTTGTTTCTGCAGGAGATCACTGTTCAGAGCCATGCCGCATTCATCCGGGGCTACTGAGCCAGGCCTGCAGCTGTGCAGCCAGCACAGTCTTCTCTGTCAGGCCGGGCTCAGCTCTAACAGCACTTTCGGGGATGTGGTGTAGGGTAGGAGGGTGTCTCCTTTTCTCACTGGGGAGTTCCACTTGGCAGTAAACAAATGACATCCAATGTGCTGTGCTTGTTACAAACTGGGTGTTTTTGTGAACCAAGCCTCAGGGTATCAGGAAAGAGGCTGGGGACAGGCGGTCTGAATGGTCAGCGAGTACACAGGAGAGTGGCGTGCAGTTGAGGAGAGTCCCTCAGAACCATTCCCCACAACTGTCCCCAGAATCATTCTGAACAATCCCCCAGGCGTTCCCCGAACTTCCTTAATTTCCACTGGTCAGGATGGTGCTTCCAGAGCACAAGGAAGCCCAGACCTAAGCACTGTGATGGGTGTAAGTGATGTCTCAGAACAAAACCAGCAGGATGGCTGCTTCCGTGTTGGTATAGTTTTAAGAAATCAAATCATTAAGAAGGATTTGAAGATGTTTTGATATCACCTAGCTTTATTTCTAAAGAAATGCTTTGTAAAATATTGTGGTGATGCACTAGGCTGGGATACCATTTGATTTTATTTAAAAGAATATGTTTTTATAATAGCAGCTTTTTTTTTTGGCTTTTTCCTGTGGTGTAGAGTCAACATGAGACAGTTGGTTGGTAGCTTTTTTAAATTTATTTTTTGATGGTTCTTTGGTTGACAATAAATCATAGAAAACACATGGTACCTCACAGCACTAAATTGGTCTGATTGAAATCTTGTGCCTGATGTTTTATGTGTTTTTTAATTGTGCAGAGCAGTGCCACTACAGTCTCCTGCCCTGTACTGCCTCAGCCCCCTGCCCAGAGCAGCCCCTCAGCTCGCCTAGCTCTCCTGTGAATTGCCCCCATGGCCCTACCCGGATGCAGCCCTCCACTCCTGAATTATCCAGAACCCAGCCACTCGGCAGCCTCCTCTGTCAGGATTCATTCCCCACCTTCTCCTTCTCCCAGAGAGGCAGATCTTAAGAAGCGAGCTAAGATTGAAGATTTAAGCAGAAGCATGATTTGGGCGAGTCTTAATGGCTGGGTTTGCTAGAATGGACATAATGAAAGAAGTTCACAAACTAATGCACAATTAGAGTATTTTTGAGTAATTCCCCATCAGCCATGAAACTGAATTCTCCATCTGTCTGTTCATTCATCTCTTTGTATATGCGTGCATCTGTCTAACCATTCCACGGGTGTTCGCCACTGTGCCGTCCAGCTTTGTGAGTGGGTATCATAGTGGAAGGACAGGCCTGGGCCTTTCCAAGCGATGAACCTTCTTCTGTGACCCACCAGAGTGCAGGGTGAAGGCGACTACAGTGAGAGAGAGAGTGCTGGCCCAACCCAAGGGAAGGTGATCCGGGGGACCCGGGAGGGGAAGCTGAGCCCCAAGACCTGAGGAGGAGCAAGTGGGCTTCGGAAACAGCATGCACAAAGGCCCAGAGGGAGACTGAAGGTGGAACGCCTGTGACAGTGGTTCCAGACCTCTTTCAGGTGGCAGACCTCCTGGTGAGAATTTCTAGGAGATGGGCACCCACTTAGACACGTGCTCCCAAAGCTTCATCCCTCATCTCTGGAGGCACCTAGACTCTGATGCACAGACACCCCTGTGGCTGGTGTGCCCAGCATTTCTCACTCGGGGAGGCCCAGCCTGGCTGACCACGCGTTGTGTCATCACTGCTTTCCTTAGGGTTCATTACAGAGCTAGGAGTTCACATCTCATCCCTTCCTGAGCTGAGCTGTCTTTCCAGGAGCTGCTTAGATGTGCCAAAGTGAGCATATTTTTTTTTTCCAAGTCAGTCTACAGTTTCACTTTTAAAAAAAGTTGTCAGGGTTATTGCAGCAATGTTTGGCCTTTGTTTTCCATGATCCTTACTGCCATGAAATACAAAATGAGATTCTTAAATGCTGGGGGAGTGTCATGTGGAGTTCTTAGACCAGAGATGCCCTGCACTTGTTTGACTGATGCTCTTTGATCCAGCTTTTCAAGAACCATACTCCTAATCTCTTAACAAATGAGCTCCTCTCTTCAAAGCAGTACACCTCTGCAGTGAAGGCTGAGGCTCAGACCCTGGGGAAGCTGGCTGCCGGGCATGTGCCTGAAGGCAGCTTTTTTTGGTTGATATCCTTGTGGCAGTTGTGAAACCACATTTGACATTACTTGGTTTAAACCTTGAAATGTTTGCAGACCTTTTAATCCCCATATTGTGAAGCTATTGCCAGACCTCATGGCTATGAGTTGGGGAGGGTTTGTGACTTGCCTAGGTGACAGCAGAGCACAGACCTGTCCTTTGCCTTCCCCACAGCCACATCCCCCCGGGTGTCTTCTGAGCTGGAACAAGCCCGGCCCCAGACGAGTGGAGAAGAGGAGCTACAGTTGCAGCTGGCACTGGCCATGAGCAGAGAAGTCGCTGAGCAGGTTGTGCCCAGGCGCCTGAGTGACGACCTGTGTTGGGAGGGCAGGGGGCACCGTGCTCCACATTTTGGATGTGCTCGTCTGTCACCTACTTCCCCCAGCTGGGGAGAGATCCTATGCAAAGTTATATTTAGGAAAGGTTTTTAAGAAGTCATTGCCAAGGAAGGGACAAGCCGGTCAAAAATGCTTCCCAGAAACACTTTCGCAGACATGGCCCAGCCTGACAGGACCTCTCCAAATAAGCTGAGCACCCATGCACTCTTGGAGGCCCGGTGTGTGGGCTCACAGTCCGGTTAGCCCGGCAGACTGGTGAGGTGGGTCAGCAGCTTCTGGCCCCTGGAAAAGAAAAGCAGGGAAACAAGGCTGGAAGGAAATGCTGCAAGAAATAGGAGTGTTTGTATTTGGATTATGGAAGTATGTGGGATTTTCATTTTTCTAGTTCCCATTTTTATTTAATAAAGATGCATTTGTTTAAAGTGGAGGAGGGAAAAGAGTGACTGAAATGATCTTTCAGAGTCGTCAGCCCTTCAGCTGCAGTTACCAGGATTGTCCCCTGGCCTTTGGTTAAAAAGGCCAGGTGGAGTCAGGGCTTGCAGGCCGTGGGGCCGGGGGGGGGGGGGGTGGGGTGGATCCTTCTCACCCAGAGTGGGGTTTGCAGACCAAGCACTGCACATGGTTAGATGGAAGCACAGATGGGCCTTCTGGGCCCTTTAATTAATAACACATCTATGATTTATTATAGTTATAATATATTCATTTTAACTTAATTACTATTCAAAAGCTAGGACAGCTCAGCCTTTTGCATATGGTGGCTATAATCATTTTTGCTAGAAATCATAAGAAATACACAATCATTTTCTGGAAGTATACACAGTGGGAGGTGGGATGATAAGTAATTTTTATAATCTTTTAAATTTCTTTCCGGGTTGTCAGATCTTTTAGTTTTTATATGGAGACATATTGCTCCTATGATTGGAATTATGAAGCCATTTTCATTTTGAGAAAAACAGTGGTTGAATAAGTATTCCCTTTCCCCACTTTGGTGGTGCCTGCGCCCGAGGTGGGACCTGAAGCAGGTGGCAGCCACCCAAGGGCTGTGGGGGGCGAGCAGGGGGTTACCTGGGAGTCACCGTGCCTTACAGGTTGTTCCCGAACCCTCTTTCCAAGTGACGCATAATATCATCTTGCCTCTCCTGGTTCTGGCCAGGGTTGCTTTGTTCTGTACAGTGATGTCATTGCAGTTACTGCCAGCTCACCATCATTGTCACCCACAGGAAGAACGCCTCAGGCGGGGTGATGATCTCAGGCTGCAGATGGCCCTCGAAGAAAGCCGGAGAGACACGGTTAAAGTTCCAAAAAAGAAAGAGGTGAGTGCTTCCCTGGGAAGGTAAGTATTTGGAGACTGTCCCCAAACCCACCCGTCAGTGTGCAAGCGACACTCGGGGAGCTCTCGTAGGAGCTGGTGTCTGTTCACTCAGTGAACAGCCTTGAGGCCTGCGATGAGCATGAGTGAGGCAAGGGTGCCCGGCCTCTTCAGGCCGCCCTGAGAGAAGTGGGCAGGGGCTGAGCGGCCCAGGTTCTCACTTTCTGCTGACCTGTCTTTCTGTCGCTCCCTGGGAAATGGCAGGTAGGCAAGTGCCCCTCCACCCCCACCCCCGGCCACACACACTGGGGAGGCTCTTAGTTACGGAAGCTAAGCATCAGGTGCTCTGGAATCATTTCCTGGTGCAGGGTCAGCCCTCACCAGTGCTGTCCTTCCTCACCATTGTCATTTCTACGCCAGACTTCCTCCTTCGAACCTCAGGATGACTGGGACATGGCTCTGCTCTAGACAGGCTCGCCATCCAGTCAGGATTCAGGCCCCTCACGCCACGTGGCCCCACGTTACAGGGCCCTGAGTGTCCCTGACCACAGCCTTGGGAGAGGGAGAGCGACAGCCCCTGGAGAACGCCTGGCTGCTGGGGGAGTAGTAGGCTGTGCATTCTGGAGGGAGGGGGTCCGGGGCCAAGCAGTGTCCTGCAGGAAAGCCGGGAGGACTGTTTGCACGTGAGTGCCTCGGTGTACCTGTGGGGTGTTGGGGGGCAGAGGGGCGTGGACGGGGCAGTAGATGGGAACGCTCAGTCTCTGTGGTCCTCTCAGCCCATTCCTGGGGGCCTCTAGTCTAGTAAGAAGGACGGGCAATATTGGTGGCTGTCACATGTTACTGTGGTGAAGTAAAACCTGTTACCTTCTCTTCGTCTCCAAAGCCCGGCTCCTACTCACAGCAGACCACTCTGTTGGATTTAATGGACGCCCTCCCCAGCTCAGGCCCTGCCATCCAGAAAGCAGAGCCCTGGGGCCCATCAACCACGGCTAACCAGACCAACCCCTGGGGTGGGCTAGCGGCCCCCGCCAGCACTTCGAGCCCCTGGCCATCATTCGGTAAGGACCCCTTATTTATCTCTCATGCCTGCTTGTTGAAAGGGTGAGGAAGGGCAGGATACAGCTTTCCTCTCTCCTTCACCTGGCAAGGGGGTGAGGGGGCAGTGAATGTGACTGACGGTGGTGGGGGTCCAGGCTTCTGTGGTCCCCAGCTGTGATGTCTGCCAGGCCGCTGCCCTCCTCCAGAGGAAAGGAGGAGCAGCCCTCCTTTCCATTCTGTTTTGGATGGTTTTCTGCTTTGGTAGAGGGAAAGCTGGCTTCCTCTCTGCTTGCCACGAGCATCAGAAATGGCTCGTCCCACCTCTGGAGCCTGTCAGTGCTCTCAGTCTCAGAGCTGCACCCAGCACCCAGGTGAAGAAATTGTAACATGCTGTGAAACATGTAAACCAAGTTGCTATAATTAGTTGGAAATTATGACGTACTCAACGTGACTGCTAATGAAGAGGGGATATGTTTGCAAAGAGGGGTAAGTTTGCTGTAATTCTTTTTACTTGTCATTGAAGCAAGTCAAGTCAGTCTACTAGGCTAAATGAATACTTTACAGTTCTGTTTAATGCCAAATGGAAGAGAATTTGTAATAAGAGATTTTAACTATGAGTGGATCATGATTGGTTTAATCCAGGGTGGAGATCTTGGGCACGTGGGTTCCCAGATTGCTACAAACAGGGTTTGACCTGCTGGTTTCCCATGCAGCCTATATTCTGGAAGTCCCCTCTGGGTGCGCTGAATCCTGCTGGACATGGGATATCTGTGGATTTTCTGTCTAGGAACTTTGAATTGTATATTTTGTAGCAATTTGCCCGTATCTGGTGGGGTCTCTTTTTTCCTAATTAGAACCGTCTTTGATATTTAGCTGGGTCCCCTGCATGTTCGCCAAAGTGTGCCAAACACCAGGCTCTGTCCTGGCTTGCAGGCACCCAACACAAACAAGTAAGGGTTCGGCCCACAGGGTTCTGAGCGGGTGCGGACGAGGTGGGAAGAGCAGCATGGCAGCAGCGTGTGCAGGCTGGGCCTCGGTGGCAGGCTTCGAGAGCATCCTGGGGCCGGCCCGTCTCAGGAGGTGGGACTTATATCTGCATTGGGAGCAGGGGGCCGGGAGGCAGGCATCTTGGAAGAATTTTTGAGGAGGGGCGGGAGCAGCTGGGGGCCAGGATGAGGCAAGTGTGCTCCCAGCAGAAGGCTGGGCTTGTGAGAGCCGTGAGGCGTGCAGTGGATGTAAGTGTGGGGCCTGCCTGGTGTAAAGTGGGCAGCAGGGAGTTGGGGTGGCAAGGTTGGGGTGGCGGGGTGGGGGTAGGAGCCGCAAAGTGGGGATGGGTGGCTTCCTGGTCACTCAGGGCCTGGCTACTTTACCAAGTGCTTGGACATATCCAGAGGACAGTGTTGGCTCCAGATGTCCTTGGGTGATGTTGTTGGCCACGGGGACTCAGACAGAGCCCTGCACTTCTTTGGCCAGAGCCCTCCAGGCCTTGGGGCAAACCCTAGGCCCAATGGTCTGTAGTCATTCCTCACTGAAGGCTGACTCCAAGGCTGCCAGGAACGTGGTGCACACAGTTCACAGCCATATGCTGCACCCCCAGGGAGCCTGTGGGGTGGAAAGTCTTGCTGAGCACGTGTGTGGGCAGTGACAGCAGGGCCACCGGACATGCCTACTCTGTGCTGCATGTGGGGACAGCAGGCCCTTCCAGACAGTGGTGTTGACCTTATTTTTAAGTTGAAAATAGTTCTGTAAAGGAGTGGCCCCCTTATGTTATGGATAAGGGTGTTATTCAGGAAAAACTATCAATCCCTTTCAAAATTGTAATTGCTCATTAAACTAATGGGCAGTTTTTCAGTGCCCAGAAAAGAACAGGGTCACTGGGAAGGAGCCAGTGAGATTGAGAAGATTGCACCTTGCTGAATCCGGGGTGGGGCTTTGGTGGCTGAGGGGGTGGGAGGGAGACATACTTTTCCTTTCTGCTCTTTTTTTTTTTTAACTGTTTATGTTACCTGGTTGGGAGAGGTAAATGTTGGCCCAGCTTTTCCTATGGTTGGCAGACAGGTCTGTGTCCTGTGTATGGGTTGAGCTGGCAGTCTCTCTCTGGTGGGGCGGGGCTGCTGCAAAGGCCGGCGGCAGGCGGGGCTCACACACCTTGGCTCACACAAAGCCAAAAAGGGCTATTCATCTTCTGGGGTCACACAACAAGTTGGAGGCAGGCTCTGTGCTTTGCCCCTCAGTGGCGGGCCCTCCTCCTGCCCTGGCCCGCCTTGAAGGTCTCAGTAGTACATGTCCTAGGTCATCACCTCCATCACCAGCATGGAGAGGTAAGTGACTGGTGTTAAAACGTTAGCTTTTTAATTATTCTTTCTGGGCACTTATGTTTCCATGTACTTGGGGTCACAGTGTATATATAACTGTGTGTGGGGGGGATAGGTAGATAGGTAAGTAGATGGGGGATTCTGCTTGCACTATAGGATGAGCATTTCCAGGTGTGGTCAGACACTCTGACAGCGGGGCTCCAGCTCCAGCGGGTGGCCCAGGGCTGCACCACTCTCCCCACCGCCACTGTTGTGTACGAAGTGGTTTTGCATTTTGGTGTGCTGCTTTCAACAGTGCTGCCCAAGTTCACCAGAGCTTGTAGCAGTCCCCTTGCTTTCGTGTTCCAGACCCAGCTCCAGAGCCAGGTGTGCATGTCAGGGTGACGGGTTCCTCCCTAGTGAGATATGCTCATGTGTGTTTCAGGGCTGCCTCAACACCCTGAAACACATTCATGAATTAGAAGGATTAGAGGTTCTCTTTTCAAATGCGTTGGTGGCACCCTCTGGATGAAAAGAACGCTGTTCTGAAAGCCACTGTTCCTAGTGAGCCCGGTTGGTACCTTTGCTTCCAAAGCAGCACTGGGGGTGGCTTGGCCAGCCCAGCTGGGAGGTGGTGCTGAGGGCTGCGAGGAGGGAAATTGGAGACTGCAGGATCAGCAGGCACTTCTCTGCTGCTCAGACACACAAAGCAGCCCACCTGGGATGAGGGCCTTGCAGCCTGGTAACTAAGAAGGCCTTGGTTGGCTCAGTTTTCCTCTCTGCCCCATTTCCACTGCCTGGGCCAGGACAGAGGCTGCCTTCTGCTCTGGCTGAGCAGCAGGTGGTGCTGCGGGTTTCTTGGTGACTTCCAAGATGGCTTAGTTCTGTGACTTCCTCCCTGTGCACATGAATATTAATGTGTGAGGCTGGGATGAGCCGGGCTGGCCAGTGAGAGGCCATGGCTATGTGCTTCCTATGAATGGGCCCTCAGAGGAGAAGGCCGGAAGCTGCTTGATCTTTTTGCCCTGGATTTCATCCTCCTTTCCTCTCATTCACTGGAGCTTTCAAAAGCATTTATTTATTGGTGTGTGGCATGATTTGGGCCCTACTGAGGATGCAAAGGGCAGAGCACAGAGGAGCCTCGCAGCAGATGTACTGTTCATTCATGGAGGAGGACAGAGAGATATCAGTAGGCATTTGTGGGGACACACTGGCCTTGTCCCTGGTGCCCACTGTCTGCAGGCTGGTGTACGCACCTGTAGGAAGGTGAGGGGAGCATTCTGTCCCCTGGTTAGGTTTGCGGGAAGGGTGGTGCCACAGCGTGTGGCCTCCTGTAACTCCTGCAGGCACATGGTGGAGCAGAAAGTCAGCATAGAGTCCTGTGCGTATGAGGGTCCCCAACTGCCAGTTGCAGGACAGAAACCTGACAAAACTCCCTGGAGGCAAGCAGCTGGATTGTCCATGGTCATCTGGCTGATGTGGGGTCAGTGGGGTTTGAACTGGACTCATCTTTCATTTCACATGCAAAGCTCTCTGAGCTGTGACCAAATCTGCCCTTGTACACAGCAGGACAGGAGCAGGGTTCCTTTCGGGCCACAGTTTGTTGAGTGCAACACTGCGTATCACAGAGGATGCCGATTTTTAAAGTTCTTGGCTATGCTGGTTTTTCTGTTGTTCCAGTAGGTTCTAAAGGGGAAGCTGGGCCTGTGGAAAATAACTGGAGGTGTCAGAAGAGACTCTTGAACCATTTCAGGGTGGCGCTGCACTGCAGTGGGGCACTCAGGCAGAAGCCTTGCCTAGAAGCCCAAGATGATGGGGACTCAGCATGATGAATTTTATGCAGCCTCATGTATCAGCATTCATATGGGAAGAGCCCTTCCAGGCAGGGTGCAGTACTTTGTTTGAACTCTTTAGTTTATGGGCTTTGGGGGAAGCTAGTGGTTCTAGATCTTTATGGTCCCAGAGTAGGTCCAAATGGTGAAGCAAGTGTCTTCTTTTTTTGTACATGCACATGTGTGCAGTCACTGAGGGGCTTGCCTGTATGAGGTCTGGATGGCAGTGCCAAGGTCCAGGGCTTGTCTCTGCTTGGTGGGCTGCCTGCATACCCTGAAGTACCTGCTCCTTACTTTATATTGTGTCCCATTGTCTGCTTGTTTACTCTTGAATGTGTGTCTCAGATGTCCCTGCTCAGGGAGATGTGGTCCTGTTTCCCTTAGTGCCATCTCTCCCTGCCTCTCCCCGTGGCCCCTGCCTCCTGTGGCTCCCATGCTGGGTGTAGTCACTTCTGTCTGTGTTTTGTCCCTCAGAGGAAGGGCTCCACATGTGGCTCAGAGAGAGTGAGATAACTCCAAGGATCGCCTGTCTGTGGGAGGCAGGGCTTGCCCCCACAAGCTGCCCTTCTGTTCAGGCCTATTTGCCTGAGCTGGGCCATCTGACAGTGGGCCCTCCTGTCTCAGGAGGACTTGGCCCAGAGCATGGTGCTCCAGGGGCTCAGTGGCTCTCATGCATGCAGACTGCCCATTCCAGTCACTTGGGTTATGTCTAAAAATCCAGATGCCCAGGCCCTCCGCAGAATTGGTGGGGGCAGCATGGGATGGGGAGGGGACAGCATCAGTAATTTACTAAGTCCCCTGGAGACTCCTGGGGACAGACACCATGAAGAGCCACTGGTCCGGGGCCCTGAGGTGTGTGGTGAGTGAAGTCCTACTGAGGCTAAGACGTCTGAG